GACAATGAGTAAAATCAGAAGCTGGCCCTCTGCTAGGCAGCTACTGTATGTGTCCTACATGTGACCCAGAAAATTCATGAAACGCTTAGTCTTTCATTCATGGGTTGTTGTTTGATTGGGTCATTTGTTTTTTTTGTTTGTTTGTTTTTTGTTTGTTTTTGTTTTTGTTGTTGTTGTTGTTGTTGTTTTTTAGACAGGGTTTCTTTGTGGCTTTGAAGCCTGTCCTGGAACTCGCTCTTGTAGACCAGGCTGGCCTCAAACTCACAGAGACCCACCTGCCTCTGCCTCCCGAGTGCTGGGATTAAAGGCGTGTGCCACCACCGCCCAGCTTGGGTTTTAATTTTTGAAACAGGGTCACAAGTAGCCTAAGTGGGTCTTGAACTCTGAACTCTCCTGACTCCAGTTCCCAGGAGCTGCGATCACAGGTATGCACCACCGTACCAGTCTCACAATGGGTTTTCACGGGCAGGACATTCACATTGCCTTCCTCTCAAGTTCATATTCCAAACGTCTAAAAGCAAGAATCTTTTTCCCCTTGCTCCTGAGGAGAATCCCAAAACAGAGTCCTGGCTCTGGTGGACGGTCTCTGCCAATCTACAGGATGTTTCTTCCAGGAAAAAGACTGTCCATTCCTCAGTGGGGGCTGAGAGAGCAAGAGGCTTCAGCAGGTAAAGGCGCTTGTCACAGAATTGTGGCATTGGGAGTTTGATCCCCGAAATCCATGGAAAGGTAAAAGGAGAGACTTGAATTCATAAAGTCATCTGCTCATCTCTACATGTATATGCCATGACATGTGTGCTCCAACACATACACACACCCCAATCATAATAAATAAAACTTTAAAAGTATTGGTGGGGATTGCCCCAAGGTAGAGACTAGAATCACATATGTGAGTTAAGTAAAGCACCAAAAAGGATGGGTTGGCATGCTATCGTCACAGCCAGTGCTGACCAGTCCATGGGCTGTCCTCCCCATGAGCAGACACAGACCTAGGAAACACTGAGGTACACGCAGTAAGTGACCTGCCGCTTACAGGCTTGTTCAGACAATATTTCAGACGGAAGAAGTCTCTGGGGAGTTTAGCTCATCCAGCCTTCGCACAGGCAGCTGCACGGCACCTCTCCCGGCGTCACAGCCTCTTCTAACGTCAGCCATCTTCGTGCCGTGGACCATGTGAGCTAAGAGACCGCCTGCAGAGAGCCTCTTCTGGCTTGTGGGCTTTGTTTGTTTTGTTTTTTAATAAAAAATGTATTTTCATAATTTTCCCTTTAGTTCTTGTATTTTTACTTGTTTGTTTGTTTGTTTGTTTGTTGGAGACAGGGCTTACTTTGTAGCTCTGGTTATACTAGAACTCACTCTGTAGACCAGACTGGCCTGAACTCACAGAGATCCGCCTCCCTCTGCCTCCTGAGAGCGGGGACTAAAGACACGCGCCACTACTGTCCAACTTATATTTTTATTTTGTTCTTGTTGTAGCAGTTAATATTGTTGTTGTTTTGAGACAGGGTTTCTCTGTGTAGTCCTGACTGCCCTGGAACTCACTCTGTAGACCAGGCTGGCTTCAAACTTTGTGATCTGCCTGTCTCTGCCGCCCGAGTGCTGGGATTAAAGACGTGTGCCATCACCGTCCAACTTATGCTTTTACTTTTTAAAAAGTGCTTTTATTTTATTGCATGTGGAGGTCACAAAACAGCTTATGAGAGTCATTCTTGTCTTCCATTCAAGTAATGAAGAAGGAGCAAACTCAGGTCGCCAGGGTTGGTGGCAATACCTTTACTTGCCTTGTTTTCTCTTGCCTTTTTGCAGGATATTAATTTTGACTTCTTTACTTCCACCCACATGCATTCATTTTCAGTGGCTAATGAAAATTCAATTTTTCAGTTCTCCATGTATGTGCACATGTGTGTGCGTGCCTTGCGCTGTGTGTGTGCACATGTGTGTATGTGTGTGCATGTGTGCTTATGTGTGTGTGTGTGGGTAAGCCAGAGAAGCTGATGTCAGGTGTCTTCCTTAGCTGTTTTCCTCCTTATATTCTGAGCAGGATCTCTCACTAAACCCGGAGCTCACGAGCTCACCTGGAGTGGCTGGCCAGTGAACATTGGATCCTGTCTCTGCCTCCACTCCTGGGATTACGGCACACATATCTATGTTTGCCGTTTGCACACCGACGCTGGGATCCAAATTCATAGCCTTGTTCTTGCGCAGCGCTCCACTGAAGGACTCACGTCCCCACAGCCCTCATTTCCAGTCACTAAACAGAGCACAGTGACGCGTCCACCACTGGTCTGCTATTGACTAATAGCAAACTTGGTAAACTTCGGCATGGAAGAAATTACTTAAGAAAAAATAACAGCTAATTTTCCCTGCGTTTGTTTCGCAGTTAGGTTCCTGCTGAAAATTAGTGGGAAATTCCCCCCTAGAAGAATCTGATAGAATTTTAATGGACTACTTTATGGAAATGAGCTAAGAGATTTGTTGTGTTTTTTTCTCGTCGTGAGAGTTAAAAGCCTTTCTGTTGGAAAATGCAATCACTGAGTTCTATATCATTTCTCTCGGTCATCAGAGAATTCAGTAACAGCAAATATAATTAAGGGTCAGGAAAGTGTTCACACCCCTCAAATGAATTATAGTGGCGGGGCTCAGATCCAATTAGCAAGCTGTTACCATCTGAGGTTGCTCATATGCCAGAAACAAACTGCCAAAGCCCAAACAGAGATTCCCAAAGGCCCTGGGACAGTCTTTGAATTGAAAATTCAGTTAACACTTTTTTTTTCTTTCCTGACTGAAGCGGGAATCTGGACCTTTATTATCACACAGGGCTTTTTGCTTTCTAATCACCAAAGGCTATTCAGGAGTTTCCGCAGGAAGCAGCCCCTTAGTAACAGGAAGGTTTTGTTAAATAAATAAATAAACAAAAACTAAAAACACAGAGGAAGAGGAGCCTCTCCTTTCAGGAAAAAGGAAGAGGCAGACTAGAGAAGGAAGCTCCTCTCGCTGCAGCGCCTGTCTGCAGGCCGCCAAAGGCCACCTTTCCAACACATTGCCCTTGGTCCCAACCCCTGTTGAAGACCACCAGCCTGGCCATTTTAATCTCTTCCTAGTATTTATTTAAATGCTTGATATTGTCATTAGCTGTGTAAGCATTAATCTTCCCCACCAAAGTGGTGAGTGTTCTTGGGGGCCATCAGCAGCCCTTGCAAGTTTTCACTCCTCGCCCTCAGGGTCTTGGCTAGTCGGGGTGTTTCTGAATCTTTTTGTTTAGGTTTGGTTTGGTTTTTGGTACTGAGAGTGGTTAAGAGCACTGCCTGCTCTTCCAAAGATCCTGAGTTCAGTTCCCAGCAACCACACGGTGGCTCACAACCGTCTGTAATGAGATCTGGTGCCCTCTTGAGGAAGAGACCTGGTCAGTCGTCCTCATCAACTTAGACCATGAAACCCAATATGCACAGGTTCAACAGAACCGCCATATACGGGCTGTCTATGCATGCTTCAGCATGGTCAGGGCATAAATTTCATTCATTTTCTTTTATTGAGGACCCAACGCAAGCAGCCTTGATTCTGTTGGCAAGCGCTCCATCCCAGAGCTGCATCCCCAGTTCTGAAAGACTTCACTGTTCTTCAAGATGGGAAGCTCATCTTCCCCAGCTTGCCAGGCTTTGTGTCGGGGCAGGGGAGGGTAGGCTGGGAGGTTTGGCAGTCTTCTCCTGCTGTGTATGGATGGGTAGGCAGTGTGGTTGAATAAGCACAAACCTTGGCAAGTCGACCTCCCCTGTTGCGAGGGCTTGAGTTGGCCTACGGCTAAATGAGCAGTGCTGGGTTGGTTCAGGAGCAGTGTGTCTCCGGTTGAACAGAAGACACTGTTGACATCAGACACATTGACACTATTCAATAGTGTCAGTTAGGCAGTCTTAGGAGTCTTCACAAGACAAGCAGGTCACAAATGGCCTAGACTAACAGCGCCTCCCTGAGGTATCCACAGCATGAAGTATGGAGAGGAGGAGCCTCCTTCCTCGGATTCCCAAAGTCAATGACATATGTGTGTGTTTAGGAACCTGTGCTTTTGATATGTTCCTAAGGCTAAATGTTTGCTTATTCTAGCATGTGTGTGATCTTCAGCATTCATGACAGGGTCAGTCAGTGCACTGGTCCAGAAAATTAAAACATACAGCCAGAGCACATGACCTTGTTTCAGCATGAATGAGCTGAATGGTAATTTTTTTTAAAATCACCTAAATGTGGGGAGAAAATGGGGTTAAGATATACCACCAAGGTAAGATCACAAATATGTCAACTCGGTCATTCATCTCAGGTGATGACCGCCCCACACGCAGGTCTACATGCCTGCCGTCTGCAGACCCCTCCCCTCCACACGCAGGTCTACATGCTTTCTTCAGACCCGCCCACACACGCAGGTCTACATGC